TGGATTGAAGAGTAAAAAGAACCGGGGGGGGGGGGGGAGGTTCCGGAGTCATTCTGAATAAAGTGTTTAAAACCTGGTACCTGTCGCGGAAGATGCTGTTTGTACTCTTAATGCCAAACCGCAGCGGGACTCGGGCAGCGGCTGAAGGGCCGTAAACATCTCGCGTGTACGCCAGAAAGGTTACGTTACGGGTCAGCGCCATTTTTAGGACGTGTGCTCTAAACCGGTCATGGTAGTATTCAAGGTACGGCTGGAATTTTGTTAATTACTGTGCCCTGTTGGTAGGTAGTTACCAGGGCTGAGGTAGGGTTCTGTTCTCCAGCTGTTTTGGGCAGGAGTTTTGCGGCTGCGTGTGGCTTTAAACCTGCTAGGCCTGTGGCAGCCGTGGCAAATGGGGACTTGAGGCATCTGAGCCTCACCCGTTTAGGAGAGGGCTTAGATTGTCGTAGGCTGCAGTGTGAGGTAAGCGTTCAGGTGAGGGATGTAGTAGGTAATTACTGGGCTGTGTAATGCCCAAATCCTTAATTCACCTGAGTTTGAGGATGATTTGCCTCGAGGGGTTGGAGCACTGGGTACGCCGCTTTCCACAAGCCAACGGAGAATTTCCTGAAGCAGCGGTGGGTGGAGAGGGGGCTGGGGGCTGCAGCCGCGGCCTGTACCCTGCTCTAAGCAAACCTCTCCAGTGTGTCGCTAGGTGAGTTTTGGGGTTATTTTTCCTTCGGCAAGTTCTAAAAATGCAAGCGGAATGTCCATCCGAGAACTTCTAACACGAGAAGAACCTTGAGGAAAAGGTTAGATGGCTTCTTACCTCTGTTCCTGCCACGGAAGTAGCCGCTGGACTGTGCCAAAGATAACCTCCAAACCAACTGCAGAAGGAAAGTAAAGCTCGTGAGGCTAACGCAAAGCCCCTCTTCTGCACAGAAAGGCAGCATGCAACGGAAGCCGCGCCGCGGGGGGTAGTGCCTGCCCCTGCCCCCACCCCTTCGCTACAGCCATTTCTGCAGGTCCTGGAAGAAGCGAGCGAGCTGCTGAACGCTGGTTCCAGACAGGCTGTACCTATGCACCTGCGGGCTGTTGGCCTCGCCTGGCTTCCCCATTTTCATACTCGGCAGGTCAGCTAAAGCTGTGAAACCATCGCGAGCTGCGTAGGCAGGGCTTTGCCACCCAACAACCCCGCGCCGGCTCCAGGAGGGTCTGCGCCAGCCCCAATTCAGGCATTTCCGACATTAGCGGGGATTTTTCTCTATCTGCCTTCACATCCAGGGGCTGGGTGCTAGCAGGCTTACCTGTAACTGCAAGCCTTTCGCTATCGGTCCTCAAGAGCACAAGAGGATTCAAGCTTGGAAAGGAAAGAACGCAGCTTCTGCCCGAGAGGACAGAACCCGAGAGTTCAGCAAGAATTTCTGCCAGAGCAACAACGAAGCTTCCTAAGTTAAATGGCAGTTGCGGGTTAGGCAAATGGTAAAGAACACCATTAGTCCTAGGCAACTATTTTTTTTTTTTTTTTTTTTTTTTAATGTGTATTTTTGACCTGGGCATTGGTGACCACAGACGAGATATAGGCAACAATCCCATAAATCCCTCTACTCAGCTCTGGCGAGACCTCACCTGGAGCCCTGCGTCCAGCTCTGGAGCCCTCAGCACAAGAAGGACATGGAACTGTTGGAACGGGTCCAGAGGAGGGCTACAAAAATGATCCGAGGGCTGGAGCACCTCTCCTATGAGGACAGGCTGAGAGAGTTGGGCTTGTTCAGCCTGGAGAAAAGGAGGCTACGGGGAGACCTGATTGCGGCCTTCCAGTACCTAAAGGGGGCCTATAGGAAAGATGGGGAACGTCTTTTTCATAGGGCCAGCTGTGTTAGGACAAGGGGAAATGGTTTTAAACTAGAACAGGGTAGGTTCAGGCTAGAGGTAAGGAAGAAATTTTTTACAATGAGGGTGGTGAAACACTGGAACAGGTTGCCCAGAGAGGGGGTGGAGGCCCCATCCCTGGGAACATTCAAGGCCAGGTTGGATGGGGGCGGGCGCAACCTGATCTAGTTAGCAGTGTCCCTGCTCACTGCAGGGGGGTTGGACTAGATGACCACTAGTGGTCCCTTCCAACCCTAAACATTCTATGATTCTATGATTCTAAATCAAATTAGCACGTCATTTTTATTTCTTTTTTTTAGTAGGTGATCGTGCCACCACCGCACCGTGCTAACACCACTGTGTGTGGATTCAGTGCGACACTAAAATTTTCCCTTTCCTTCCTGCTTTTCTAAGGGAACGGTAATCAAGAGGGAAGCGGGCAGTGCATTGCGCAACGTGAAACAGAAGCGATTATAACTTATCTAGGAAGTTACCCGGAGGTGGCGTATCCTCCTTCGAGCCACAGCTTGCCAAGGACAAGAATTTGCCTCGTAAGGATCCCCAGGCAAAATCTGCCGGTGATCAAAGACACGGTGTGGAAAAGCCTGGCCACCGGTGCTGGAGCTCAGCTCGGCGGTAAAACCTAGCGTGGAAGGAAAAAAATGACAAAAAAGGATGAGCAAGCTACAGGAAAAAAACCAGAACTGGTTTGTTGTGAAATTCTGCACAAAACAAAACCCTAAGAACACTTCCAGCACCTGTGGGAAACTGCAGGTCAAAATGAGGCCGGCTCCGAAGGACTGCAGAAATCTCTCATGTCAGTGAGTGAATTGGCAATAAAAAGGCAAATAAATTCAAGACAGACAGAAAAGTGTATGGGGGAAATAATGGTGGTGTTTATGTCTCAGGACCTGAACCGACGACTACCGCTCAGTTTGAGGTCTTAGGTTTATGGTAAGTATCCTTATGGTAAGTCAGTCAGTAGTGCCCAAGTGTTAGAAGCAGTCACAATGAGAAATCAAGTGCTAGTACCTGCTGGGAAAGGAACAGAAAACAAAATGTTATCTCCAGTGGAAGCCTGCACCTTTCTATAATAAAGTTTTATTATAAAATCTGTGCAGTTGCAGTTCCTTTATTGTAAAAGCAGTGTATCGGGTTTGTGTGGCAATGGGGGTGGTGGTGGGGCACAAGGGTGGCTTCTGTGAGAAGCTGCCAGAAGCTTCCTTTTTGTCTGACAGGGCCAATGCTGCTGGGCAAGGCTGAGCCCATCAGCGATGGTGGTAGCGCCTCTGGGATAATATATTTAAGAAAAGGGGGGAAAAAAGAAAACACCCGAGCATTTGCAGCTGGAGGGTGTGGTAGGAGCAGCCCTGCAGCCCCCCAGGTGGGTGCAGCAGGAGGGCAGGAGGGGCTCCAGGTGCTGGAGCAGAGATTCCCCCCAGCCCCGGGTGCAGCCCATGGTGGGGCAGGCTGTGCTCCTGCAGCCCAGGGAGCCCATGGGGGAGCAGATCCCCACCTGCAGCCCAGGGAGGACCCCAGGCTGGAGCAGGTGAAAGTGCCCAAAGGAGGCTGTGACCCTGTGGGAAGTTCGTGCTGGAGCAGGCTCCTGGCAGGACCTGTGGACCCATTTAGAGAGGAGCCCAGGCTGGAGCAGGTTTGCTGGCACAGCTTGTGACCCTGCAGGGGACCCACACTGGAGCAGTCTGTTCCTGAGGAACTGCAACCCATGGAAGAGACCCACGCTGGAGTAGTTTGTGAAAGAGGGACCCCAGGCTGGAGCAGGGAGGAGTGTGAGGAGTCCTGCCCTGAGGAGGAAGGAGCAGCAGGGACAGCATGTGATGAACTGACCCCAAACCCCATTCCATGTCCCCCTGCGCTGCTCAGGGGGAGAGGGTGGAGAAAATCGGGAGCAAAGTTGAGCCTGAGAAGAAGGGGGTGGGGGTGGGAAGGTGTTTTAAGATTCAGGTTTTTTTAATTTATTACCAGTCAAATCAGAGCAGGGGGAGAATAAACTAGTTTCCCCAAGTTGAGTCTGTGTTGCCCATGACAGTAACCGGCAAGTGATCTCACCCTGCCCTTTTCTCAACCCATGAGCCTTTCGTTATATTTTCTCTTTCCTGTCCAGCTGAGGAGGACAGTGATGGAGTGGCTTGGTGGGCACCTGTGTCCAGCCAGGGTCAACCCATCAGAAGCAGTAACTGCAGAAAAAGTTTGGAGAAGGGGACTGGAGATGACCAAAGGCCTGACCTGGCTTCCACACAAAGGAACACGCTTGGCAAGTTAAGGCTCTTCAGCATGGCGAGAGCAGCAACAGAGTAGGAAGGATAGAGAGGGCTAAAAATTAAGTGACAGGGACACAGCAGATAAAGCTCAGAATGAGCTCACGCTCGTTTTGATACAAAGCAAGCTTCGGTTGGAGCTAGCAGGAGCCAGGTCCAGGAGCCACGAAAGAAGGCAGCTCTTCACACAGCCAGGTCGGTGGAAGTCCTTGCCAGTGCTGTGGATGCTGACGTTTTACACTGAGTAACTGAGGCTGAGTAACCTCATAAAGAAACCTACCGAGGATTATTACATTGATCTGCCCAAGGAAGCCTCTGAAACTGGTTCTAAAAAAGCAGCTGGGGAAGTTTTACACCAGCTTACCTTGTTCTTTTCCCTAAGCGCTCGCTTTCAGTCACTGCCACGAACAAGACACTGGGCTAACCCGACATTTAGCCTTCCAGTACAGGAGCTTTACATTCAACTGAAAATGCACAGGCGTTTCCTTTGCCATTTCCTCACCTTCATAGCAGTGTCGTCCCTTTTCCCCAAGTATCCAGTCCTGTGAAGAGCCGCTGCCTGTGAACTGAGGCTTGGCTACTGAGGGACCCCTGCCTGTGAACTGAGGCTTGGCTACTGAAGGACCCGTGAACTGAGGCTTGGCTACTGAAGGACCCCTTCTAAGCACCAGCTTCCAGGAATACCGGTATTTCCCCGTGTCTGTAGATCGCTGTTTTAGCAATGGTCAACAGCAGCTTTGGCAAGGAACCAGAGAGGCAGTTTTGCAGAATAAGGATGTTAATGTGCTGCGTAAGTTAAGACTGAGAGCCCAGTCTACCAAATCTAAGCTTAGACTTGTTGGTTTTCCATGTTTGGAAAACGTGTCTCTCTCTGAAATTGTTTTAAGCTCTGTGGAAACTTGGAGAAGGGAAAAAACCCCAAAATACTCCAAACCCAGCCAGCCACACAAACGCATGTGTAAATTGTTCTTTTAAGAAGTTAAATTGCCAGGTTAGACTTTAAAAGCGAAGCGTCTCTTATTTCATCACTGATTTATTTTAGCAGTGACCGCACTAATGTAAAGCCCCCTCCAAAATAAAACATGACACTTCTTCCAGTTTTACCATGGGAGGAATTCCAAACACAGCCCATGACAGCGATAAACCTGCTGTCACGATGCCACAGGATACTCTAGAAGTGCATCCTTAAACAGGGAGGAGGGAAACGGGACACGATTCCAGAGGAAGGGCTCCGTACCACACTGAAAATTTGAAGCTTCAGGGGCAGTGTAAGAAGGTTCAGATTATTATTTTAAAGGTTGTTGTAAGATTGGCAAGAGGGAGTAATGCCACTTAAGCTACTCAGGCTGGCAGTCTGTCCTTCTTTTAAAGATTTTCTAGTGTGCTGCCGCTGAAGACCAATTCTTTCTTCCAGGCTTGCTTCAGCGGAAGACCTTGACTTAAAATGATGGAAACCGAACCTGGTGTACACTGAGAAGTCTTAATGTGCAGGAGCACGGAAACTGAAGGGTGTACACTGAGAAGTCTTAATGTGCAGGAGCTGCCACATCTTTTTGGCACCCTCTGCTGGCATGAAAGCCCAAAGGAGTAGGCTGCCAGAAAAAGGAGGAGTAAGCTATTTGTTCTGAAGTGAAGATGCAAAGGGGCAAGAGGAAGAAGTGTGGAGCTAATAAAATGGGAATTCTGAAGTCCCTTTCATCCTGCAGAAGTCTGTCTTTAACTGCAGGTGGGTAACAGAAAAAGCATTTTCTCACCAAATGACTCATTTACAGGTAGGTACGCCTTGACCACAAACACTGGAGTTCCTGCCACTTGGGATTCTTCAAAAGTGCATCCCCTTTTCCTGTTCAGCACACCGCAGATCCCACCAACCGCTTGTTCTGGGCTCTATAAAAGAAGAATCCTATCAAGTTATGTAAAAGGAGAAGATCACCGGTTATTAAAAAACAGCCAGGCAGCACTGGACAATCCCTCTAGACAGCTCTCTTGATGTCTTTCTCATGACAGCTCCTTGCTTAGAAAAATTCCTCTCAAGCGTAACAAGTGGCTTCACTCTCACTTCTGAGACATCTTCCCGAGGCTCTGCCTGCCTCCCCTGCCTCACATGCCTGTGAAGTTGCCGGTTACTGTACGTAATGACTGTACTTGATTGTATTTACATACACAAAGTGAGGCAAAAAGCGCATACGCTCAGTGAATTACCTTCAGCAATCTTTGGGCACAAGAAAGCAGAGTCCTCTAGTGCTTTGTAATAAATGCATTTACTACAGGATGCAAATTTTATACGAACAGGATCTCGCCATACCTTATCTTAGAACGTACAACATAGCTGACAGGCACTCTGGTAAAAACTGTACTTATTTAAAAAACCCCACATTTGCTTAGAAACGTACCACTAAGGCTGCAAAACTCCCCTGCTTTGTCACAATAGGTCTCACAATTCATCAAAGGGAAAAAATTCTCCATTTTGCTGTTTTGTCCTTACTTGCACGCATCTTCTTCAACCCGCGAGGCTAAAGGCATTTTTTAAGCAACTGAGCTGGTAGATTTCCTGCCTGCCACCCAGCACCATAGTCTGGAATTAATTTTTAATTAATGGTCTGAAGTTGCACCAGGGCAGGTTTAGGTTAAACATTAGGAAAAATTTCTTCACAGAGGGGGCTGTCAGGCACTGGAAGGGGCTGCCCAGGGAAGGGGTCGAGTCCCCACCCCTGGGGGGATTTAACAGCCGGGCAGATGAGGTGGTGAGGGCCGGGGTTTGGAGGTGGGATGGCAGGGGTAGGGGAACGGTTGGGCTGGGGGATCTGAAAGGGCTTTTCCAACCTAAACGATTCTATGATTCTATGAAAAGAAGGTTTTAAATCTTCCAATTGCTTTTTGACAGTTAAGACAATTTGGTATCACCAAATACAGCTATTCACATAAAACCATACTTTTTGCATGGAATATATTTACCAGGCTCTTTTATGGAAGAATTTAATTTACCAAGAAAATCCAGTTATGTGAAGGATAGAAGTATAGAAGTTAATGCTTAAACAGCTCAAAAAAAGCTTGTTAAAGAAAATAAAAAAATCCATGCTGCTCTTTCTGGTTATTTAGAATACCCATTGTTTGTTCTCCTGAATGTTTGCAGTGACAGAAAAAATGGAGGGGAAAAAGAAAAATAACCCAAATCATAACTTCCCCAAAAGTACTGGCAATTCATAAAGAACAACACAATTCCCCTCCCCGCCTATATTTTGCTGTTTCTGTTTAACCTTTTCTAACTTTGGAATGAAAAACGTGTCCGCAAACAAAAGTCTCTGCATCACTGACACTGATCACTGACAGAGAACAGAGCTATCATGGTTTCTCAGAAGAGCATGTGGAAACACGATAAATAGTTCTGTTGCATCTCTGTTGTGGGCAGCATTAGGTTTATGGTTTGACTCTATGCCCATAAGGGTCTTTTCCAACCTAAATTATAATTCTATCATCTCAAATGCAATACCCTGCAGCATACCTGTAGTCCTACCAGACAGACGGGCTCCATAAGCCTGGGTTGTGCCGTCAGAGCAGAGGCAGACAGAACCCTCCTCGCAGTCAGAACGATTTGCCCACCACCACGGTGAGTAGCATCAGCGTGCAGGATGACATCATGGATATCAAAATGAACACCTCTCACATTCTCCTCACACAAGACACCCTGCAGTATTAAAAAGGGGAAAACAAAGGTGTGATACTGCTCAGGACTTTCTAAGATACAAACCTTCACTTAGCAGGATTCTGGCCTGACGCTGAACAGTTCTATTCGGACCGAGGCAGCGTGCACTATACACACAGCGGAGTCCTTCTAGGGAGGACTGAAATGCTCCTGTAGCACTTGAGAACTCACACTTGAAACAAACACTACAATATCCAGACAACAATGTATTCATTACATAGGTTGAGTGACGTATGTTCTTCAGTGGGGACAAATTCCAGCTAGCCCACCACCCTGTTCTTACCAGTTATCAACAGTTTCTAAAGATTTCACATGAATAGAGCTCAGATACGTTTCAGTAACACAAGATACAAGGACAACATATAGAATGACACTTACCTCTTTCGTAGCCCACTGGAAACCAGCAACAACACTGTCTTCGATTTCATTTAGACGCTGGACACCTTTTGTGATGTCAGCTAAGATATTTGGACTGGTAGCATCAGCCCCAAAGCACCAAATCTTACAAGCCTCAGACACATCCCGCACGCTGTTTCAGTTCTTGACGGGAACTGACTTCCCCTTTGTCTGCGTCCTCTGCCAGGCCATCAGGAAAGGGTCGAGCCTTCATATACAGCCTGTTGTGTTTGTTGGGAGATTTGGTTAAGCACACCTGGCTTCACCGTCTCACGGCAAGATGCAACTGGGTCTGATTTCTGTGGAGTAGATCAAATACAAAAAATTCCCAAGTACAAAGCTGACCATTTCCATGCACCAATCAAATGCCATTCAATGAAGTGCGGCTTCTCCCCCTAAGGCAGGGTGTTAATGCCAGGTCCACTCGGTCATCCAGGCATGCTCTGCTAGCTTCATCAAGAAACACAACGGCATTTTCAGCAGCACATCTATGGTTACCACCACTGTTTGAGTTAGTTAGTTTTCCTGTCCACTGGGTTTTCTTCACATTGCTGTCTTAAGTCTAAGCTCCTTCAATGAGCTAATAAAGAATTCCTTTTATTATTTAACTGGTTGATCTCCTAAAAGAATTCAAATTGCTTTAAGGAAACCAAGAACAGCAGATTAAAGTGGTATTTTCAAAGGTTAATATTTAGTCATATTCCATACACTGCAGCCCACAAAAATTCTTGAATACCTTGGAACACAAGCATGATCTTCTTCCAGATCTTTAAGGCAAATTTCTAGATGCAGCTCCCCTGCTCCAGCAATGATGTGTTCACCAGTCTCCTCAATAATACACTAGAAGAGGAAATAGTAGGGAGTAAACATTTTAAGAATTTATTAGTATTAAGAGAAACAGGCACAGAGTAAATCAGAAAAATGTCAGATCCCCAAACCGCTCAACCCCGAGTATTCAAAAATTTAATAAATTATCATCTCTATATTGGTTGCAGGACTGCTCCAGGGTGAATCCTCTCACCAACAATACTGGGTACTCTCACACTAAACATAGTTCCCATCCTACTGAGGTCTTTGAGCATTAAAGTAAGTGTAAGGAAAAAGCACTGCTCAAAACCCCAACACTAATTGCTGCAGAGTTTGTGTTTTTCCTCAGGATCTTCCTATTCAAATGCTGACTGAACTTATGCCTATTTATCTTGTGTTAGCTCATACAATCACAGCTGGAAACTGTTTTGAGCCTGCAGCCATGCCATTAGATCACATAAAGAGCTCTCTGTGAATAAAGCTGAGTGCTTTGGGTATTGCACTGCAAACCAGTAGCTCTAAAGCTAAATCTTATAGCTAACACTCACCTGAACCATAGGATCAGACTTGGCCAGATGCTTTAGACTTTCAACTAGTTTTGGTAGATCAGCAGGGTTTTTTGCTTTGACAGCAACACGTACAACTGGACTAACACCAAATTTCATCACTTTCATGTTGTGGGCATGGTCAAAGGTGGCAATGGCACCCGGCTTCACCAAAAACTGGTCAACACCAACTAGACCAACAATGTTGCCACGAGGTACATCCTCAATGGGCTCAACATAAGAACCCATCATCAAAATGGTTCTACAAAGACAGAGGATGAGCAACAATCCTTGAATACTTTTTCATCCCCAGTATTTCCAAATACTGTTATGCTTGAATTAATGAAAACCAGCATTCCTTGCATTCCTTTTCTCCTTGGGCTAGTGACTTTCCTAAACTTTCTGTTGAAATGTTTCTTGGATTAACTGAAATAAAACACAAATGTCCTTCTTCTCTGCTGACAACAGATTACAATAGTAGAAAGAAAAAGGTCCACGAATAGTTGTATCTTATGGCTGTATCTTCCATATATGGAAGACAAAAATAAAACCAAATGTTTTCTTAACTCTCTGGCCAGAGTGATTGGGATGGATTTCCCTTCTCCAGTGATGTATCCCCTGGGCTCCCTTTTCATGGGGGTTTTAACATACTTGAGGAGAACATGAGTTAACACAGGAACCAGAGAGTTTCTTAAAGTCTCTGCTCTTAACATTCAGTGCTGCACAGAAAGTGATCACGCGCTTTCGGACATTACTCTTCAAAAGGTTGACCGAAATTCAGCAGTGTTCTTTAATATACTTGAATTTCTGTCGTGGTTTAACCCGGCTGGCAACTCAGCACCACGCAGCCGCTCGCTCACTCCCCCCTCCCTCAGTGGGATGGGGGAGAGAATCGGAAATAAAATAAAAGGTTAGAGCCGAGGGCTGAGATAAAGACAGTTTAATAAGAGAAAATAATAATAATAATAATGAGAATGATAACAGAATAAACAGAATATACAAAACGAATGAGGCACAATGCAATTGCTCACCACCCGCCGACCGATGCCCAGCCCGTCCCGAGCCACGAGCAGTCCCTGAGCTACGATCACTCTGCCCGCGACCGACCGACCAACCGAACTAACCCCCCCCGAGCATGACGTTCTATGGTATGGAATAGCCCTTTGGTCAGTTTGGGTCAGCTGTCCTAGCTGTGCTGTACTCCCAGCTTGTTATGCACCTGGGCAAGCAGGAGAAGCTCAAAAAGTCCTTGAGTAGTCTGAGCACTACTTGGCAACAACTAAAAACATCAGTGTGTTATCAACATTCTTCTGGTACTAAATCCAAACCACAGCACTATGCTAGCTACTATGAAGAAAATTAACTATCCCAGCCGAAACCAGGACAATTTCTGAGAGCCAACCAGAAACCATGTTTCTGATTACACATCCATACACAGGGGCGGCGATAGACGCTTGGTTTTAGCATTGCAATTACACCTTGAGAAGAGGGAGGGAGGCAGTATCGGTGGGGTTTTTAATGTATAAAATAAAAATTTTCTCCCTTTTCTTAAATCAAAACATGTATGTCTCTTGTATGCTGCAACACACTTACAAACACCTTATTTCAAATCATGACATTCCTGACGTACAAATTAACCACTGACCAGATTATAAAAAGACAATTGAGGTAAGTTTCTGTGGATTTTAGAAAGACCTAAAAGACTTCCCATTTCACAGCTCAAGGGTAAGAAATGCTACCATGTTGGCAATTCTAATGAAGTAGAAAGGCCAAGTTAGCTTAAGACGGGGTTTTCCCTCTTTATCTTGATCTTCAATGTCTAGCTTGATATCAGGTTTCTATCAGTTTGGCTGCCTCTTCCTTCTTAAAATGAATAATGGCATCAAAGACCTGAAACAAGTTTATAGCAACCAGAGTAAGTAATATAACAGAGACTGGTTTTGCTTACCATTTATCTTAAACATGTTGTATGTCTGAAAACCTTCTGGTTTCTCTGTTCTGGGCTTTTGTTTTGAGAAACTATTTGCAAGGATCATACAGCTCAAGATTAATAGATTGTATCAGATGTTTCTAATTTCAAAGGGAATTCCAAATTCCTGTCAGAAGAGGTTCACACACGAGACGCACAAATCTTTAATCTAACGATACACGGAATATGTTATTTCAGTGAAGAGACCACTCAGATTTGCTGCCTTCTACTTCTGTCCCAGCTTTTTCACATTGTTCTCATACAGCAGAATTTTATCTAGTCTCTACAGAAAGTATAGACCTACTTTATAAGAAGGATGGCTTTCCTAAGAGCTAACCTGCTAAACTAAAAGAAGTCTTTCCTTACACCCTTGCAACCAAATCAAGACAAAATATTGCTTTACCTTCAAGATGGGATCCAGAACTAGCTGGCAAAATATCCTTGGAAACTTCTCTCCATCAGCTGATTTGCTGAATTTTCCAGTTGCTGGATCAAAATATTTGAAGAAAATGCTTATTTTTACTCACCCAGTTTGAACTTGAGGAGTATCCACTTTTCCTGTGAATTTCCACTTGGTTATTTTTAAAAGAAAACTTTGTAAAGTTTCATTTAAGCAGAGATTAAAATAGCAGAAATGTGGCTAATCCTTATTTGAATGTAGCAGTAACTTTTAGATGTTTGGGGAGGCAAAGGATGGCTTTTTGTTTGTTTAGGTTTTGGAGGTTTTTTTACTACACCTAAAAACACTGACTTCAATGTGCATTTTTAGGCTGTTACAGGGAACTAGACACTGTAAGCAAACCAAGAATTCTCTTACTCCACCGTTATCTATAACTGCCTTTTGAAGCTTTCCTAAAATCATTTAAATACCATATGAGAGAAATTTTAGAGTACCCTACAAGCTAAATGAGTCAAGTTAAGTTCATTTATTATAAGGCATCAGAAGACAAGCAAATACATCGAGCTTTCACACATGTATAAAGCATTCTGTTAACAGCAAGTTCTGTACATATTTAATAGGAAATTAACTCCATTGTTTACGAGCTACAGCTTAAGGTTCATTAAATTCACAGAAATACTGATTGGTATCAAAAGACTGGATTTGGTGCATAATCTTGTGTTGTGTATTCATTCTACCTATGCAGTTCAATAAAAACATTTATGTTCTGAAGTTCTGAGAGTGAATCTTCTCTCTCTGCTCTTAAGGAGCAGGTTATCAGAACTCACCACAGAAGGTACATACATACAGCATATCTGCATTGCAACCAATTGCCTCTCTTTGGTACATAAATGTTTTTGTTGTAAGAGTTACAAACTCATGTCTCTAACTAGCTTTCTAAGCTGCCTATGAAAGCTTAGTTTTACTGAAGCACATATTCAACATGCACTGGGTATGCATCACTGATACCCTTCGAGCATCACTGTGGTATCTAAGCATGTGTCTACATTCATTCCACACGTACTGCGTTACTTACTTATCACCCAAAGTTTTTTCATCATCTCTTCCACTTTCTTTGAACGCTCAGCTGGAGGGAGTTGTGCTTTTTCACTTTTGGCAGTAAATTTGGTTACATACATCTTGGCAAACCGCTTCAGATGCCCAGCTACACAGACCACAGCCAAGCCCAACAGTACCGACAACTGGATCAATCTTTAAAAGGGGACAAAAAGGGAATGCATTTCACAAAACACTGATTTGAAACATATGATTTGCTTTCAGTGACAGGTAGGATCAGTAAAAATGCCAAATATTTTCTGAAACATACAACAAGGAAATACTTCCCCTAAAATGGGTCTATTGAATATTACTTCGAAGCCAGAACCTTACTTTGTCCCACACAGTGGAAATATTTATAATGAAGGCTAAAACAAAAATTTCAGAAACATGTTTGTAAAGTGCCAAGTAGGATTTGGAGGATTATGACTTTGTAAACAATATTAACTGAATTGTTCATGAACTTCCTCTGCAAATTAAAATATAGGTCGCTATTCCTGCCACACAGATAAAACTGGTCTGACTTAAGAATGGCTGAGGTTCATGGAATATAAGAATCAGAATACAATCCTAGCCCAAAGTCCTTTGTTCCCATAAGTAGGTGAAGCTGCAGTCAATTTTAGCCATAAAACAAACTGGTACAGGATGATCACATTTAAACAAAGGGAACCAGGTCTGAAATCTCTGGTGAGAAGGTCTGTCTCGTAGCTATTTGGTGGAAAAAATACTATCTGAAGCAGCCTGATTCTGACAATTCCTTACTCTAACAGCTGGACCACTAGAGAAGACTTGCAATCGACCTAGTTTAGTTATTTTACAATTCTCAGTTGCAATATAGGAAATACCATTTGTCTTTCTAGTTCTAAACCATCCTTCCAAAGACATCCAGCATGTTACGATATAATTACTGGTAGAATAAGAGAGACCTACATCTTCTGATTGGAAAAGAGTAAATTAAATGTGTTATCAGTCAGGAATAGCAGAAAGTCCATATTTCTTGTCGTGTAAGTGACACAAGCAGCAAAGTCAGGCACAGAAAGCTAACCTTCTGGCTTCTGGTCCTTTGCCTTAAATTTCAAACGATAGCTTCCCCCGGGCAAACATCTGACATTTCATGTTTGAATGACACTGAGGAACTGGCTTCACGTTACACATTTTGTTGGCGAGAAAGTATCACTAGAAGTTGATCTGCTTTGTGAATTCTCTCCTCTCTTCTAGTTGCTTTTGCTCCCCAGTTGGTTGGTCTGAAATAATATCCCCAAAGGAAAAAGTATGAAGCAGTGGGGGTGGAACGGGACTAAAGAATGGCTCCTTCAGGTTGGCCAGAGATCTGAACTGCCATAAGTACATGCAACTGTTTCATATCAAGGCAAACAGGATTTCAACCACAGCAAAGTTTTAAAGTTTTCTTTACCATAATATTACCCATTGGTCCTGTTTCACCCTCTCCGTAGGTGAAAATGATGACATCGACATTTTCCACAATACACTGACATGTGTAGTAAAGTTCCTCAGGCTCCAGCTGCAATTCCATCAAAGCAGGATCCATTTTGTTCATCATCAATACTGGTTTGATACGTTCTGCAATAGCCTGCTGGAGAACAGTCTCTGTCTGTACACAAACCCCTTCAAAAAATATAAGCACAATTAAAACATGCGTTACATATGTGGGCAAGATCTCTAATCTCCTTTGTACAGTGGTGACTGGGAAATTCAAACTGGGAATTTGGTGGTAGTCTCGGTACTCCCTGAAACTGTCACTACTTAGTTGCATGTATCACTCCATTTTCTAAGTGAAGGAGGAGAAGAATGACAGGCAGCTCCACTCCCTAGGATTTTACTGAAAGATTGACTTTATTTCCTCAGTTACTCTACATTCAACCCGCAAGCTGGATACAAAGTGGATATCACCTTCTAAAATACAGGAAAAGCCATGGGCTAAGACTGCAAATCAGAATTCATACCGTTAGAAGTCAAATTTTCAGAGAAAGAAGCTTCTTCCATCAGATTTTTTTTTTTTTTCTTAAGAGGAAGAAAATAAAGTACACTGAGGTCTTCCTGATTTGAAGGGCATGCTTACCTGAAACACAGTCACCCACAGCAAGGGCACCAACAGTGACATGGAGAGCTGCTGTAACTTCAGAGGAGAAATCAACAAGTCCAGGGGAGTCAATTAAGTTAATATGAAAACCTGAACCATCCCTACACTGTTTGATGAAGGCCAAGTCATCTTCTGAGAGTTCATAATATGCAGCAATTGCCCTGCAAGAGAAGACGATTCACTTTAATGATTTAATAGTGTTTCATAATTTGCTGATTTTAAAATTTGCATTGGTCAGGCAACTATAGCTGCTACATATACTATATACCAACTATACAGTGCCAATATTTCTTGATGTACTTAAAGGAAAGACCACAAGAAGACTTCAACATTTCAATGTCTAAAGTTCTTAGGGTCTAAAATTCTGCTTTGGATGTAATTAATTTTTATTCTTATTCAAAATCAACACCTCAAGATGGTAGTCATAGCATAATATCACTGTCAGACACTTGTAGAGACATGCTCCTAATCACTTTACGACTTGCTAACTTTGCAGTTGCAGACATCAAAGACAGTGGAAATAACAAGAAGACACTGCCCACCATAGTGGCTTGGAGGAACCCAGTATCAGTCTGTAGGCAATCCAATAAAAATGAAGGTTGCCACTAAGAATCTCCCCGAAGGTGTCTTTCTCCATAGTGAGGAGGTAAGAATGGTTGCTAGATATCACTTAAAAGCTCTACTACAAAATTGCCCAGATAGCACTCTGAAGACTGTGGACTTCTGTTCCGTAATGCACAGCTTGATTCACATGTCAACCGAAAAAAAGATCTGACAGGATGCAAGGCTTTCAGCAGACCATTTTTCTGTCTTCAGACTAAAAAGAAAGGAAGAAAAAAAAGGAAGATACAAACAAATTCTTACAGAGACTTGATTGTGATGCATCTTTCTTGCTCATCTTTCCTTGTGCCTGTGAATCGCGTTTCTCCTGCTCTGGCTGAAGCAATGATGCCTGCTGTACATGCCAAGAAGTCTGTCAAGGCTGAATTGCCATGATCAACATGAGCAATCACAGATATATTCCTAATATTGGACTTCTTGTCCATGATTGCTTGGATCCAGTCTACTGTGAAATTCACCTGAATGTGGGAAAAAAAAAAAAGAAAATGAGTTATTGCTTCCTCTTAAAGTATAGAAAGGTCTATGTGAAATTTTAAGCTTTTGCTGTTTCTTATTAACTCACAATCTAAAGAAGAAATGAAGCTGTTCATACTTTTAAGCTTAGTATTACAAACAGTTGTTCACATTTTTGGCATGTTTTCTTAAGTATGAAGAGTGGAGGCATAACTTAAAATATGGCTGAGATTTCACGTCACAAAATGTCGATTGCCACAGAAACGAAGCATCCACCTGCGGAGACGGAACAGCTCATCCCGCCAAACTTTACAGGAGAGTTAGTGCACAGAACTGCAAGCTGCAGCTCTCATCAGAGCTTCGGTGCATGTCCTTGTCCTTGTCCTCTCCTCCCACCGCCGCCGCCCCTCTCTTTGCCAAGTCTCCCTCCCTCACCTGCTCTCCATCTCCCAGGGCTTGTCAGG